TGATCTTGGAGGTCTTCTCCAATCCTAACAGTTCTGTGATGCTCTTTAGGGACACGGTTAGTGGGCATGGGATGGGTTGGGGTTGGTGATCTTGGAGATGTCCAACACCAATGATTCTGTGACCCCAGATAGGGACACGGTGGGAAGGGCTGGGGTTGGACTCAGTGATCCTGGGGGTCTTTTCCAACCCAAATGGTTCTGTGATGCTCTTTAGGGACAGGATTAGTGGGCATGGGGTGATGGGTTGGGGTTGGTGATCTTGGAGATGTTCAACCCCAATGATTCTGTGACCCCAGTTAGGGATACGTTGAGTGGGAAGGGCTGGGGTTGGACTCAGTGATCCTGGGGGTCTTTTCCAACCCAAATGGTTCTGTGATGCTATTTAGGGACGTGGTTATGGGCACTGGGTTTGGGTTGGTGATCTTGGAGGTCTTCTCCAATCCTAACAGCTCTGTGATGCTCTTTAGGGACACGGTTAGTGGGCATGGGGCGATGGGTTGGGATTGGTGATCTTGGAGATGTCCAACCCCAATGATTCTGTGACCCCAGTAGGGACACGGTGGGAGTGGTTGGACTTGGTGACCTCGGAGGTCTTTTCCAACCTGATGGTTCAGTGATGCTGCTTAGGGACGTGGTACGTGGGCACGGTGGGCTGGGTTGGCCTCGGTGATCCTGGAGATCTTTTGTGACCCTAACGACTCCCCGTGCTCCTCATTCTTTGAGAGATGAGCTCCCAACATCAAGCGACGCTGCGTAACCGAAGTCCTCCCCCCCCGCCCCTCAAAACGCCCCCCATCTCCCCCACTTTGCTGGAGCACCTTGGCCAGCTCGGCGATGAGCCCCTGGTAGCTCTGGGCTGCATCCACCAGCCCCAGGCCCTCCAGGCGCCGCAGGTTCCTCACGATCCTCTGCTTCTTCTCCTCCATGCTCAGCTGGCCGACGGCCCCCAGCGAGCGGCGGGGGTTGAGTCTGGGGGGGGTCTGGGAGTCCCACAGCGCCCGCCGGCGCAGCAGGTGGTGGTGGGAGGCTTCCTGGGGGGACGGAAGGGGGACGGGAGGCTTCCTGGGGTGATGGGTGGCGGTGGGACATCATGGGGGGTCATGGGGGGACATCATGGGGGGGATGTGGGGACGTGATGGGGACACCAGGGGGACATGGGGGGACATCATGGGGACATCATGGGGACATGATGGGGACATGGGAACACCATGGGATGTGGGGACATGATGGGGACACCATGGGGACACCATGGGGACACGATGGGGACATGGGGACATCATGGGGATGTGGGGACATGGGAACATGTGGGGACATGGTGGAGACGTGATGGGGGGACATGGGGACATAGGGATGTGATGGGGACATGATGGGGGGACATGGGGACGTGATGGGGATGTGGGGACATGATGGGGACAGGGGGGGACATCATGGGGACATGGGAACACCATGGGATGTGGGGACATGATGGGGACACCATGGGGACATGGGGGGACATCATGGGGACACCATGGGGACATGGGGACATCATGGGATGTGGGGACATGATGGGGACACCAGGGGGACATGGGGACATGGAGGAACATCATGGGGACATCAGGGGGACATGGGAACACCATGGGATGTGGGGACACGATGGGGACACCATGGGGACATGGGAGGACACCATGGGGATATCATGGGGATGTGGGGACATCATGGGGATGTGGGGACATCGTGGCGACACGTGGGGACATGGGGACACGATGGGGATGCTCGCCGTGGGGCAGGGGGTGGACAATGCGTGAGATGGAGCACCACAACCCCACGTACTTCGCCCAAAGCCCGAAGCACAGCTGGGCTCTGCAGAACAGAGCTCAGCAGCTGCAGGAGCAGAGCAGAGGCCGGGCCGTGGGGCAGCTCCGCACCCACAGCTGCAGCTCCGCAACCACGGCTGCAGCTCCGCACCCACGGCTGCAGCTCCGCACTCACGGCTGCAGCTCCGCACCCACGGCTGCAGCTCCGCATCCACGGCTGCAGCTCCGCATCCACGGCTGCAGCTCCGCATTCACGGCTGCAGCTCCGCACCCACAGCTGCAGCTCCACCCTCACGGCTGCAGCTCCACCCTCACGGCTGCAGCTCCGCGCTCACGGCTGCAGCTCTGCGCTCACGGCTGCAGCTCCGCACTCCCAGCTGCAGCTCCACCCTCACGGCTGCAGCTCCGCGCTCACGGCTGCAGCTCCACGCTCACGGCTGCAGCTCCACGCTCACGGCTGCAGCTCCGCACCCACGGCTGCAGCTCCACGCTCACGGCTGCAGCTCCACGCTCACGGCTGCAGCTCCACTCATGGCTGCAGCTCCACACTCACACTCATGGCTGCAGCTCCGCACTCCCGGCTGCAGCTCTGCACCCACGGCTGCAGCTCCACACTCAACGGCTGCAGCTCCGCACCCCCGGCTGCAGCTCCACCCCCCCGGCTGCAGCCCCCCCCTCCTGGCTGCAGCCCCGCCCTCCCGGCTGCCGCTCCCCCCTCACGGCTGCAGCTCCGCGCTCACGGCTGCAGCTCCACGCTCACGGCTGCAGCTCCACGCTCACGGCTGCAGCTCCGCACCCACGGCTGCAGCTCCGCACCCACGGCTGCAGCTCCACACTCCCAGCTGCAGCTCCACACTCATGGCTGCAGCTCCGCACTCCCGGCTGCAGCTCCACACTCACGGCTGCAGCTCCACACTCCCGGCTGCAGCTCCGCACTCCCGGCTGCAGCTCCACCCTCACGGCTGCAGCTCCACACTCCCGGCTGCAGCTCCGCACTCCCGGCTGCAGCTCCGCACTCCCGGCTGCAGCTCCGCACTCCCGGCTGCAGCTCACGCCAGTCTCACCTCCAGCTCCGACGCCGGCGTCCGCAGGATCTCCACGAGGGACCGTCCTGCTTGGCACCGGATGACGTCCACCAGCATCTGCTTGGTGCTGGGGACAACAGAGTGGTGAAGCCCCTCTGCTCCGCTCCACCACCACGCGTCCAAAGGGTTCCCTGCTGAACCAACCGCCCCCCAAAAGGATCCCCAAGGCTGCGGGCAGCCATCAGAGCCCCCCCTGACCTCAGCAGCAAGCTCCTGCCGTCGCTCTGCTCGCCGCCCACCTCCGGCAGCGGCTTCCCGGTGAGGGTGAGGGAGATCTCCGTGCTGCTGAGCTGCGACAGCGCCGGCTCCGCGCTGCCCCCCATGCCCTGAGTGCTGTCTCCTATGGGATGGAGACCGGAGTGAGGGGGGGGGATGGCAGGGATGAGCAGAGGGGCGCGACGGCACGGCTCTCTACGTACCGACCAGGGCCTGGACGGTGGGAAGCTCACCCAGGTCCTCCAGCAGCTCGTGCAGGGGGTCCCCGGGGTCGGGAGCGATGGAGGCCTGGTGCTCGAGGAGGAGCTGAGCAGGGAGGATGAGGAGTCAGTGGTAAATGGGCACCGGGGGGTGGGGGGAGCTGGGCTGGGAGCAAAGGGTCACAGGAATCCCTCCGTGCTCAAGTTTGTAGAGTGAGGGGGGTTGGGAAGGGGCTGCAGGGCGCGGATTTGGGGAGAGCAGAGGGGAGCGACCTGCTCTGGGAAATGCAATGGGATTCAGGGGGTTGGGAAATGCAATGGGATTCAAAGAAGGTTGGGAAACACAACGGGATTCAGAGTTGGGAAACATGACGGGATTCAGAGGTCTGGGAAACATGACGGGATTCAAAGGGTTGGGAAACACGACGGGATTCAGAGGGTTGGGAAACACGACGGGATTCAGAGGGTTGGGAAACTTGACGGGATTCAGGTCTGGGAAACACGACGGGATTCAGAGTTGGGAAACACGATGGGATTCAAAGAGTTGGGAAACACGACGGGATTCAGAGTTGGGAAACACGACGGGATTCAGAGTTGGGAAACACGACGG